ACAGTTAGTAGGGAGATGCATCGGAATAGCAAAAGTTCGGCCCAAAGTTGGGCACTTGTCTCTTTGAGTAGTTAAGAATAGAAACACTGAGTGACGATGTCGATTACGATGCAGACAAGACGCTTGGCAATGTATCAAGTCCATGGTCCAGCCCTGGGAATAATCATATATACTATGACAGGGGACTTTGAGCAAGGTTTCGCCCTGATAACATAACCAAGTTGCGAAAACGAGGGCAAACCACATCCATAAAGTCTGATAGATGATAAAATAGTAAAAGAGTGAAGCCGAGAAAGAGCATACCACAGGTCTGCTAAGCAGCTCTCAACATAATATTTTTAGGGGAACAAAAAAGTAGCCCTACCACGTCAAAACTTGGCATGGCGACATGTAAGAGGGAGTCATTGAGCTGTATATTTGAAGGGTAGTTAAAGCGCGAAAGAGCGAAATGTATTCTACAGATAGAATAAGTGATGGCAAAAATCTTTTAAATCATTTAAAAAAATATGCCACAATTTGACTTCTAATAACAAACGAATTGCGACCATGCCAGAGGCCAAAGCATCTTGGTCTTCATATCTTCAATTAAACGAAGTGGGGTTTAAGGAAGAGGATACAACGCTATAAGCTATAAAAGGGAGGAAGGGAGAGGCCACAACGGTTGAACGGAAAATAGGTCAAGGGAATTGCCTCAACTTGTCAACTTGATGAACTATAATTGTGTGCTAAGGATGGCGTTTTTCAGTGATGATGCCGGTAAAATGTATGGGAATGTACCAAATCATCGGTGTGACGCAAGAAATTATCATATCTAATATGGCAGAATACACATGGCTAGGAATTTTCCACAAGGTCGTCTTTTTGTTCCAACCAAGTTGCGAAAGCGAGATCTTAGCAACTTTTAGTTCGTTTACCTACATTCTCTTTGTTGACTGAGCCACAATGAAGGCAAAGACAATTTTACTGCTGAAGATGTCTATACACAGACAATATATATATTTAAAATGCAACTACTGTTACTGAACAAAGGCTGCTTACCAGAACCAAAGGAAGATGTATATCTTTTCGTTCAGCATGTTGACAGGTAGAGTGCACTGTGCCGTGATGGGGGCGATCGGAGAGTTGACGATTTTGACCGGAATTCGACAGAATCCAACGCGTGGAAATACCAAAGTCTCATTCCAATTTCGGCCCGAGAGCAGATCCTGGAGGATGGAGACACCGAAAAACCGATAATTGCTTCCAAGCCCAAGGAAGCGTTCCATTAAGAGGATTTGTGCAACAGCATTTCCTAGGTACAACAGCTTTGCATGCATGTAATAAAAGACGAGAGCAGAGCCTATTCGCTTGCGTGGAAGCATGTCTGTTGCCGAGTGGAGGAATTGCACTACTGGGTGTCGAGTGTCCTCTCGGTGGTGCATTTTACGACGCGCGAATAACAGGGTATCCAGAGCGTTGGCAACGAACTGTACGCGTTGCGACCTCTCCTTGCCAGTCTCGCGGGAGGCGCTCTTGGCGGATTCCAGCAGAAAGGTGAGATTTGTGCCGACCCGATTGAATGTGATCATCTCCCAGACGAGGCGAGGTAAGTAGCAGAGAATCGCCTGAACCGCAAGCATCAAAGACACCCATTGGTAATAGCCTGAAGATGATTTGTCAAAGGAACACATGTAAGGCATATGGCAAACTGAAATATCACATAAATTTAAGCACAGCATCAAAACATAGTAGTGAGGAAAATGCACATCAAGGCCAAGCAAAATTTCCGTCGTTCATTGAATAAATTGACTCTTGTACACAAATTAATGTTAAAGGGCCAGGAAGTAAGAAAAGTTGTGCGAAGCGAAACCGGAAAAGGTCTATGGGTGCAGACCAATGTGCATCGAAAGATGACTGTGACCAAAATAGAGGCCACATCTTGGTCTCTGTATCTGCTTCACCAAACATTGTAACTCGAAATGTAAGTCAGCCCAACAATTATAAATCAGGAGAGTCCTAGAAACCTGACTTTTCTCCGCATAGACTAGCTATTAAACAAGATCTTTTGATGCTTCAAAAATATGCTATATATTAGAACTTTGGCGTCAGCATGTAACCGAAAGGCACACATCTTTCCCTTAAGAATGGAAAATTCATTAAAACTAGGCGAATAAATCAAGTCTCCTCGGTTTGTCATGACGTTGCCAGACGTTGAGACAATGAAGCGCCCAACAACGAAAAATCGTCTAGAAAAATGTTTCACTTTGCAATAATAAAGCCCAATCGTAGATAGGCAGATAAAGATGGTGTAGCCCTCTATTTGTTCGCAGTCTCATTTATTGTTAGTTTGACCCTTTTTTCGCAACTTGGTCGGATCATCAGGAATACATTGTAGAACATACCTAGTCCTGTAGCCTCTGTTATAGTATTCGTGATTTCTGGCATCGGACCACTCATTTGGTAAATTGCCAAACGTTTCGTCGGCATTATCAGTGGGACGTGTCATCATCAGCTAAGAGATACAACTGGTCACTGAAAAATTCTAACTCTGGCCTAACGATCGCACCTGACGATGCCGGCGAAACATTTGGGAATGTATCAGGTGAGTGGTCCGAAACTGGAAATCACAAATAGTATTAGAGGACATAGTACTAGGTACGTTCCACAGTATCTCCTTGACATTCAGACCAAGTTGGGAAAACAAGGTCGAATCGACACAATATAGACCGGAGTTAATAAGCTAAATTGGAAATGATAATAGATCGAAGCAAAGTGTCCACATACGTTGAATCTCGAGCAAAAAATGAAATTTCACAATAAGGAATCCAAATTTTTAAACAGCCAAAATGTTTAGCAGAGCATATGATCTTTTCGATTTCTGGATCATTCACGTCTACACAAGAAGACCAAACGAGAAAACACCAATATAAAAAAAACAACTTGAGACCTTTGTGGATCCTTGCAGAGTCTGTCAGTCCTACATTAAACTTTTTGTGAAGCCGGAGAAAATAATTTTTTCGTCACACCCTATATAGAAAATAGCGATGACCTTCAAGCTCTGCTAACGTTAGATCAGCCAATACTGACGGAAATCTGGCAAGGGGATAATGGCAATTTATGCCTCTAGAATAATTCGTACAGACAGGAAGTAGGGCAAATGGCATCACGTGTGGAGCAAGCATCCATTATGTACTTGTATGCAGCCCCAATCGAGAGGTAAATAAAATATGAAGGAAAACTAGGCTCCGATGAATGAGTTTAGATAACATTGCTGATTTCAAAAGAAAGTGTCTGATCAAGAGATTTGTTACTCAATCTCACCAAGAAACGACGGCTAATTTCTATCATTATGTATCTGCTTTGCTTTAACATGACGTTTAGTTTGACTAAATAAGTTCTGACAATAGAAGTAAATGGTACGCATACTGGTTAGTCCTATAAACAGTTGTTCAAGGAAGTTCAAGGGCGTAACGAGGCTCCATTATGAGAGAGCTAATGAAAATACTGCTCCTAAATTGTAATTAGCATTCATTAAGGCAAGATCGACTAAATTACAAATATCTAAAATTTAAAGCTGAATATAAAGTCGAACCAGCGAAGAAATTCA